TATGCAGTTAGACAGAAATCTTCTCACTTGGAATAGCTTATACAAAGCAAGTTTGGTGACATGGTTCCCCTGCTATCCTTCAGTTTTCTGGGTCAGGAGACAGAGTAATCATGAGGATAGAGGGAAGAGGCAAGTAGAAGCTAATGTCAAAGGTGGAGACAGAACCACAAAAACAGAATTTAGAAAGCGTAATATTCTGGAGTCATTAATTTGAGGAGCATATAGCCCTTTGAGTTTAATAGCTCCTGAGGGCATTACTGTTTTGTTGGTTTTAGTTATCACGGAATCAGCTCCGACTCATGGCAACCTTATGTATAACAGAACAAAATGCTGCCAAGTCCTACACCATCTTCATGATCATTGGTGTGCTCGAGTCCATTGCTGAAGCTGTTGCTCCAGCCTAGGGAGCTCATCTTCCAGCACTATATTGGTCAGTAGTCTATTGTGATCTATAAAGTTTTTATTGGCTGATTTTTGGAAGTAGATCCCTAGGCCTTTCTTTCTAGTCTATCTTAGTCTGGAAGCTCCGTTGAAATCTGTTCACCATGGGTGACCTTGCTGGTGTTTGAAATACTGGTGGCATAGCTTCCAGCATCATAGCAACATGGAAACCACCACAGTATGACAAACTGACAGATGGGTGGTGGTGGTACTGTATCATAGCTGGCCAGAATTTGATTTTAACAAAACAGTAGTGTTCATGAGTTTCTGAAACTTCTAGAAGAATTACACACAGAGAATATTTTATTATGCAAAGTAGGATAATAGGCATTATTTTACACAATGGAGTGATAAGCATACAGTAAAAACGGAATAAATACTTTTTAAATAGAATTAAAGCTGTACAGGGCCAATCAGACTCTTGAGTCTAACTCACGGGATATGGAAGATACTCTTGTAGTCTTTCAAAAGTATAGTTAATTACTTGACTGTTGGGAGGACCAGTACCAGTAACTAGCTGCCAGAGAGTTGATTCCGACTAAAGACGACCCCATGTGTTGCAGAGTTGAACCGTACTCCATTGGGTTTTCATGGCTGTGACCTTTCAGAAGCAGATCTCTTGGCCTTTCTTCTAAGACACCTCTGGGTGGCTTCAAACCACAGACCTTTTGGTTAGTAGCTCTACGCTTAACTGGTTGTGCCACCTGGGGACACTGATCATGTATTCCCTACCTATATTTTTCTCCAAAATGTTGACAATCATGACAAGTCCCCATTTAGTTACTGATCCAATCAAGCATGTCATTAACCTGGGTGCAATCAAATGGGACATTGAAGTATAAAACCACTTCTGTAAATGTTGATTAAGGGCTTGATTTTTTTTTTTTAACCTAAAATAATGACACTTTCCTTCCAGTTTATCTTTATTTTAGGCCTTCAAGATTTGAAAACTCTGCTGGTGATAAATACTATAAGAATCTGCAGTCAACTCACACTCTTTCGTATAATAAATAGGATTGCTCTGACAGCTTATCTGCTTAAGTTCTGAAATCTCTTTATCCTTTATCTGCAGAAACCCTAATCACTTGAAATGGATGAGGCTGAGGGAACTTGTAAAGTCTTTTCTTTTTTTTTTGTTTTTGCATCAAATTTTATTTCTCTAGTTTCCTGAGTTCCTTGTATCTTATTTCAACAATTTCCCTTTCGGGTATTTTTAAATGGCATTTTACATTTACTTGAACTCAGATGAGTTACATTTTCTGGCAGGACAAGCATTTCTTAAAGCCTTTTCTATCCACTCTTTGGCTGGATTTCACTAGTCCCAAGATAACTAACTGGTCTGGGAACTGTAAAATCGGTAATCTGGTAAGGATCCTTTAGTTACCAGCCACAGAAATGACTGATTACTTTGAGCAAAGGAAACTTACTGTAAGGAGAGCAAAGGCCCACGGAATAAATCGATGGCTGAAAATCAAGCTGGAACATGGGCAGGTGCTATCATCTTCCTGGAAGTTGGGAAGCAGAGTTGCAGAAAGGAGAGAATGGCGAGGATGGCACTGCTAGGATGAAATGGAACTTCAAAATCCAGGGAGGCTGGCCTAGCCTCGATGACGAGTCCACTCTTGCAAGACATAGGAGAGGCACCCATTACAGTCCACTAGGCTCGTCCAGGAGCCCTGGTGGTACAGTGGTTGAGAGCTCAGCTGCTAACCAAAAGCTGGACAGTTCGAATTTACCAGCTGCTCCTTGGAAACCCTATGGGGCAGTTCTACTCTGTCCTATAGGGTCGCTATGAGTTGGAATCCACGGCAACAGGTTTGGGTTCCATCCAACGGGAAAATGTAACTCCGCAAGAGGAAATCAGGAGGCACTCTGGCAAAACAAATTGCATGCTCAGCAGATAACAGTGTCCACTACTGTGCTACTACCTAGCAGCTTTAAAATTGCTTCTGGCTTTAAAAATGAATCGGCAGTGTTTCTCCCATGAAAGCCTTTGAGATTACCACCTCCCAGTGATGTTTTCTGCTATGAACACCTCTAAAACCAATGAACAATAGTAAGGCAACTGGAAGAAACATTGACCAACTCTAGTGTGTTATGTGGCTGTACTAATTATCTATTGCTGCGTAACGGCATTACCACAAATTTAGCATCTTAAGCAACACACATTTACCTCACAGTTTCTGTGGATCAAGAGTCTAGGCACGGCTTAGCTGGGTCCTTGGCTTAGGTCTCATCTGGCTACAATCAAGGTGTCAGTTGGGGCTGCAGTCTCATCTGAGGCTTGACTAAGGAAAGATCCACTTCCAAGCTCACTCAGGTTGTTGGCAAAATCCAGTCCCTTGAGGCTATACATAGGACTGAGGATTTCAGTTTCTTGCTGGTTGTTGGTTGGAGGCTGTCCTCAGCTCAGAGGCTGCCTCACTGGGTTCCTCAAAGCCAGTAAGGGAGAAAGACCCTGGCAAGTTGGGTGCTACAACGTGATATAATATAATCACATAATCGTGTACACTTAATCACACACATCCTGTCATCTTTATTGTATTCTATTGGTTAGATGCAAGCCACAGGTCCCATCCACACTCAAGGGGAAGGAATTACACAAGGGCATGAACACCAGGTTTACTGTGTCATGAGGTCAGGGAGGACACCTTAAGTGTCTGTCTACCACTGTGGTAGAACTGAGTTGGCAATCCCCAGAGCTGCCTCAAAGTCCAACACACCTCCTTCCTTCCTATGCATCTGATTTTCTCAAGCTTCACTCCCAGGGAGGTACTTTATTAGGTGGAGAGTTAATGAAGGGGTAGAACAAAACTATGGCCACCAATCTCTCTAGCTCAGCCAGTGGAGGGGGGATTGAGCTATAACAAGCTTCACCTCCTCGGAGGTGGTGGGTATCTGTCCGTGTTGCTGTTCTGTGCGTGCAATTGAACCTAGTAGCCTCTACCAAACTTCTATATCTTCTGTCTATATCCACCATATGACAACTTATCATTATTTTGTTGCACAGAAATGCTTTCTCCATTTATTCATGTGTATGTACTGTCTTTCTCAACTATCAGCACCTGGAAGTCAGAGGCTATTTCGTATTAACCTTAATATCCATCATATCACCCAACTGGGTGGTCAGTTTTGTTGATTAAGTTATCGGTAGATCAGGGAGCATTTACATGCCCTGCAAGTAGGATAAGAGCAAAGGCAAAGATTACTTTGGGGTAAAAAACTCCTATTGGTTCCCTAGTGGAATGGAGGAAGAGGAGTTTCTAGGTCAATGTAAAAATCTGCTGTCTCTTAGCTGTACTTGTTCAAACGGAACATGTATATTTGAAAGGATGGTGTACAAGTGCTCACATGGCCCTGAAACAATGTGCTTGGTTCCCATTGGAGCTGCTAGGTGTGCATCCAGAGGCAGACGGGGTCATGGACAAACAGGTCCAACAGACAAGTGTTGAGTCTTTGCATACCCTTGGCAATGTGACCCTGAGCTTGTTGCTTTAACCTCTGTGAGCCAATGACCTTGTAGTCCTAACTTATCGATTGCAGTTCATGGTGACCCCATGCGTTACGGAGAACTGCTCCATAGGGTTTTCTTGGCTGTAATCTTTATGGAAGCAAACCACTGGGTGGGTTCAAACTGCCAACCTTTAAGTTAGTAGTAGAGCACAAACCAGCTTATAGAGATAACCAAAAAAAAAAAAAAAAAAAAAAAAGCGAAACCTGTGGCCGTCGAGTCAATTCCAACTCATAGCAACCCTATAAGACAGAGAACTGCCCCATAGGGTTTCCAAGGATCGGCTGGTGGATTCAGACTGCCGACTTTTTGGTTAGCAGTCAGGCTCTTAACCACTGTGACACCAGGGCTCCCTTACAGAGATACGTTTAAAATGTGTAGCACAGTACCTGGCATATATCAAACATGCCAAAAATAGATATTATGATGGCCCTTTAGGCATCTGACTGGGCAGGCTTCCCATGGTGCTGGTGAGCACTCGTTAATTCTCAAGGTGCACTTTGTCCCATAAGAAGGGGGTCATGTAGATGCACACTTAATATACTGTAGCGTACTCCTTCTTTTGGAGCTCATGGGGGTTTAGGGTGGTAGTTTCTTGCCTGTGGAGGAAATTTGAACTCTCACCACCATTTTCCCACCCCTGGAGCAGGGTCATTGGAAAGTGCAGGAAGAGCCCTGCAGCTGCAACCCTCCTCTGCAGAGAAGGGGGCCTGGCCTGGGAGAGGTGGTGGTTGTGCCAGGGCTGGGTAGGGGGCACCTCAGCTCCTGCCTTCCATTTCTCATCTCCCAGGGTGTGTGGGAAAGTGCATGGGACTTTGCTGGGTACCTGGGTCAAGCAACAGCCTCTCCAAAGCCATTTTTACCTCTGTAAAATTGGAGCAATATTGAGGGTCAAAAGGGGGAAGAATATAGAAACGTTTTATAAACTTTGCATATCTAAGGGGAACCCAGGAACTTAAATCTCCCTACCAAGAATTTGCTCTGAGGTTAGATAAATTTTCATTTTCACCGACACTGCTCGAACTGGCCAAATGACAATGTTAAATACATCTTATAAAAGTTTTAATTTGAACAATTTCTGATTAAAAATACATTTTATAAATAAGTTTTTCCATAGACTTGATTGAGGATTGTTGCCAACTTTACAAAAAGACATACTGCAACAACGGATTAAAGAAATTACAAAAAATATAGCTATAGCCCTCCTATTTAAAAAATACAACATTATACATCACACAGCGTTTTCTTTGTGCAAAGTTTCAGAGAATGCTGTGTTGCTAGGCAAGTCACAAGTACTTACTCCATGGCAAGTAAACTTTTAATATACTTACTTTGCATAATAGTACAGGCACAGTGGAAATAATGAATTTTTTTTCTCCCTAAGAGTTGATATGTGTTAGGTCAACATATATTTTTATTTTGTAGGATTGAAGGCTGAACTAAGCTTTATACAAATATATACGTGTATGTATGTGTGTGTGTGTGTGAATGTGAAAACAAGTATCAGCTTGGTTATTAAGTAAACCTACCAACATATTTACATTATTTTCAGGGAATATGTTCTTCAGATCAGTTTGTGTGCACCCTTTTGTTTAAACAACTCTTTAAAAGCGAAGCCAACATCTGTCAATTAATGGACATCGTCTGTTGAGACTTCTAGTTTTCGCTGTGGGACAAAGAGAGTTCCTAATGAGGTTTGGTTGGCACCATCTAAATCCATGCAGGATGAGCCCATCGGCTTTGTTGGTCCACCTGGGGTACGGAAGAAACTTTCGGCCACTAATTGTGACCCTTTGGGTGTCACTGGAACAGGCTGATTGGAAAGAGAAGAGGGAGAAAGGAAGTCAAACCCGTATAGATACGTATGTCCTAGCAGTCTTAGAAGATTAGGCTGGATGGCCGTGTAACATGTTGGGAACCTAGCATAACTTGAAATACTTAGACTTGTAAGTCCTAGTGCATTTTATGTCTCAATTACTTTTTTTAAGGTTGAACAAAATTTCATGGTAACCCAATAATACTGACTCTTTGGGCACTCTTCCTGGGTTCTGGAAGGCAGGCAGGTAGGCTTTCAAGTCCCTCACCCTCCCATCCTTTCTTCTCCAAAGAAGGGAAGCATAAGCAAGTCTTACATGACACTGATACTTGGCACTTAATAGCTAATTATATTAATTATTAATAATTATAACATGATTTATATGTAACAAATATTATTATATACATTATAAATATGATTAATAATTATAGTAATAACTAATGATATTAAAAAACTAAATTCAGTGGAAATGCTCTCACCTGTTGTGCCTCTGTCACAACAACAGATTGTCCATTTGGTTGGTTCTGGCCTGGGACTGGTGAGTCATAGCTGGTGGTCCTTCCTTGCTGAGTGCCTGCACTTTCTGGTGGGACATTAACGGCCTCTATTTTTGGAGACACAGGAACGGTCCCAGGTCCAGGGCTGGAGGCTACCTGCACACTGGGGGAGATGAGTCCCAAGTGTTGCAGGGTGAAGTTTACAATGGCTGAGCTTGGGTTCTGGACGGGAACTGGGTGGCTCGAAGCGAGAGCCGGGCTGTTCCCGACAGGTACGGCTGCCACAGAAGTTGGTGAGACCATTAGCTTCAAAGGTGTTACATGAAAAGAGGGAAAATTAACAGCAGTGAGTTTAGATGATGTCACTGGAATGACACCTGGAAAGAAAAGGGGGGGAAAATATCTTAAAAGCACAGGCATTTGTTTGAGAAGTTTACCAGGCTTAAGTGAACTTGAGGCTGACCCACGTTTGAAGAATGTTTCACATATACTCACCTGCGATTGGGGAGCTGTAGATCTTGTGGTTTGGGGAAAGTGTACCTGAGTTTTCTTTACTAGACAAAATGGACTCTGCCCCCAGGGATGAGCACTGGGTGAGTGGGATTAGGTATCCTGATGGGAACAAAGTCTAGAAAACAAGGAGGAAGGGTTTATTTTACACACAAATACAGGAAGAAAAATGGCATGTGCCTCTTCCAGGACTAATATCCCTCGGCTGGTTGTCTCATCAGACCATAATCTCCAAAGGTTTGGGCTATGGGCAGGCTAGCCGCCCAGCTGCTGGAGGACCATACCCCCCCACCCCCCACAGCAATGTTTGCCCTGAATAATACAGACCATTTGTTTCTTAAATGCCACCTGTGGCTTTAGGAAACATCCTAAAGCTAGCATTGAGCCTGACTGGGGGTAGGACTCACCCAGCAAAACGACAGCACACTGATATCCTAACTCGGCTATCTGACTTCTTGGAACAGTGTGGTGCTGTGTCAGAACCAAGTTGATGCAGTTGAACACCATACATGGCACTGCTGGATTATTATCTGATCATTCTTAAATTATGTAGGGTGGTATTTCTCAAAAGGAGCCCTGGTGGCGCAAGGGTTAAGTGCTTGGCTGCTAACCGAAAGGTCGGAGGTTCAAACCCACCAGCCACTCTGCAGGAGAAAGACATAGCAGTCTGCTTCCATAAAGATTACAGCCTAGGAAACCCTGTGGGGAAGTTTTGCTCTGTCCTATGAATCGGAATTGACTCGATGGCAATGAGTTTGGTTTGGTTTTGGTATTTCTCGGAATATCCTGAGGGACTCTAGTTCCACGGAAGGCAGGCAAGCATTACGTGATTCATGGTCAAATACGTCTGGGAAATGCTGAATTAAATAAAGGCAAATGGTATCTTTATTAGAGAATTTCTACGAGACTTTAATGAGGGCATGCATTGTAACTCTCCAAGTAGGGTATACAGCATGTAGCAGTTCCCCAAACTACTTTTTTTTGTAAGCTATTAAGGACTGGATCCCTGGTGGCGCAATGGTTAAAAGCTCCGCTGCTAACCAAAAGCTTGGCAGTTCAAATCCACCAGCCACTCCTTGGAAACCCAATGGGATAGTTCTACTCTGTCCTATAGGGACACTGCGTCGGAACTAACTTGACGGCAATGGGTTTCTCACAGAATCCCAGTTCCCAACATCAATATAGTTACTCATTTGGAAACCCTGCTGGAGTACTGGTTAAGAGCTAAGGCTGCTGACCAAAAGGTCAGCAGTTCCAATCCATCAGGTGCTCCTTGGAAACTCTATGGGGAAGTTCTACTCTGTCCTGTAGGGTCGCTATGAGTCATAATTGACTTGACAGCAACGGGTTTGATTTTCTTTGGTTATTAAGGACTAGTACTCAAGGAAACCATTTCAAGAAATGTTGATTTACAGCAGGAGTCAGCAGTCTACGGCCCATGGGTCAAATCAGTCTCCCTGATGCCTGTTTTTTCAAATAAAATTTTATTAGCACACATGCCCATTCATTTATGTATTGTCTAAAACGGCCTTTGCTTTCCTGCTACAATGGCAAAATTGAGTAGTTGCTACAGAGACCGTATGGCCTATGAAGCCTAAAATATTTATTCTCTGGTCCTTTACAGAAAGTTTGCCAACTCCCAATTTAGAGTGAAGGAATTATACATTTTTTTTTTCTAAAATTTTAAGTTCTGATGATACTAAGCAAAAAGTCTTATAATATGCAAACTAAAGGGTACCAGGGTTTAAAAAAAAAACTACAGATGAAAAAGAGAACCAACTGACTCATGTTAAAGAACCTGTCTAAAACAACTGTCTTGGAGCAAAAGTTTTAGGCAATAAAGTTCTATTCCAAACAGCAACCTGAGTGTTGCATTGCAGGTGCCCCCCAGCCACGTCTGCTTGAAAATTGCACTTTGCCAGACGGAGGCCCACACAGGTGGTTGAACTGCTTGAAAAGCCTGCTTCAGCCTTTCCATGAGCAGGGCTGGCAAAAGCTAAAAGCAGCTCTTGTCAACTAGGGGCCCTCCTTTTATCTTTGTCTTCTCTCCATTGTCAAAACAACAGTCCACACTTTGATCTAGCTTTTAATAGGTCCCATATTTTCTTTGGGAACCAGTGAATTCCGGACCCACAGTGCTAAAAGTGCACCGTGAGCTTTTAATGTTGTTTCTTAGATGCTTGGTACTGTTCAGTACCTTTACTGTTCAAGGTTCCTCGAAAGCCGCAGGAATAGAGAATGTTTAAGGACTGGATTTAGTTTTACAAATAGCTGCTCTTCGCTAATTTTCATCATACTCTCTCTGGTTGCTGGTTTAACTTTTTCAAGTCTTCAGTAAATCTTTAGTACTCGAATCGTTATCTTCCAATTTTGTGCAAACTACATGTGCCACAAAATCTTTTAACCTATCATATTAATTCTTTTTATTAAAATTAGAGCTATTACATTAGCAGGATAGACGAATTTGACATATTCCAACTGGAAAGTCATCTCATCCAGCCTCGAGCAGTCCTCTCACCCTCCTATCACATCAGCCTGTTTTATTTTCACTGTGTTATGGTTGTTAGTTGCCGCTGACTTGATTCTGACTCATGGCGATCCCATGTGTGCAGAAAACCCTGCTCCATATGGTTTTCAAGGCTGCGACCTTTCAGAAACAGATCACCAGGCCTGTCTTCCTAGGTGCCTCTGGGTGGGTTCGAACTACCAACTGTTTGGCTAGTAGTCGAGTGCTTAACGCTCTTATCATTCGCCACTTGATATATTCGTGTTTGTTTGTTTACAGTCTTCTCTCTACCCCTAAAAGAGTAGGTTCTCAGTAAATGTTTGTTGAATAAATTAATACATCCGTCTTTCAATTTCGTTGTTCTGCTCAGTCCATGCTAAAAAGAAATGGTTAAAGTGAAGTCATAAAGATGAAAAATGAAGCAGGGAGTTGTGGAAAATCTATTCACTGAAAACCCAAATCCCCAATAACTAAGTGAGCAACAGGAGACTGTTACTAAATCGTACCCGTTGGCCCAAAGAGATTATGGACCTTTCAGAAAACTGAATGAAGCCAAAGCCTTGTGATTTTCCCCTTAGCGTATATATTAAATGCAAAATGATACTATGCTAAGATAACAGATGTTTTGAACAGTTACCATGAGGCCATCCTCAGAGAAGATTTGACAAACTCTAAAGCCTCCTTAATAGCAACAGTAACAGATAATACCCTACAGCTTATACGGTGCCTGAAAAGGATCGCAGACCCCTTTATGTATATTATCATGTACTAAATTCACTTAATCCCATAAATACTGTAATATGGTCAGGGAGCAAATATTCAAAAGCAATCACCAAAGGCAGGTGCTAGGTTTGCTTTGATTCAGAACATAGTGCTCTATACCCAGTAGGTGATCAGGAAAAACTGATGGAATAAATTCTTTATAGATGCAGAAAAACAAGACAGAGAGAAATAAACTAACTTGATTTAACAGCAGGGACAAAACGAGAGATTAACTTCTGCTCCCACGTTTAGTGGTGTTTATTTGATGATGTCTTTCATATATAACTGTCCTAAGGGAGGAAAATGAGATAATATATGCAAAAGTGCATAGTATCTATGACATCTGGTATGTGGGTACCAGTTGCCATTGAGTAGATTCCAACTCATGACGACCCCACATGTGTCAGAGTAGAACTATGCTCTGTAGGGTTTTCAAGGCCTGATTTTTCTTCCAAAGCACCTCTGGGTGAGCTCGAACCGCCAACCTTTCTGTTAGCATCCGAGTGCATTAACCATTTGAACCACCCAGTAGGCATTCAATAAATGACAATTCCTTCCTGAACTAATCTCCAGGGGAAAAAAATTATCTAGAAAGTAAAAATCTCTACATATCAATGCATAAAGTACACCTACAATTTTCCAAGATCAGTTTGAATTTTCTGTTTACACAAAATAGAAATTTTGTGTTGAATTTTAGGTATAAAGTAAAAAAAGAGGGGGAGCAATTTATCTTCCAGGCAACAGATGTCATGACATCAAATAAACATTAATGACTCAGAAACAGGAGTTATAGGAACCCTGTGCATCCCATCCATCCATTCATTCAGGGTTACGTCTGCTTGTAAATTAGTTAGGACTCTCATGACAGGTGTTTGCATTCCAGTACGTGATGGAGAAATAGACTTAAGGGCAACCACTGGTGGTGCTTTAAAAAGAGACAAATAGTCCCTTCTTCCAAAGGTTAAAAATGTCCCTGCTGTCATCCCAGCCAGGGGATTAGCTGTCCAGGGCCACGTTTGGACTCTGGGATGCTAAGGAACAGTTCCATGTCTTCAGAGAGGCTGCTCTTTGCTCTGGTGAATTTTGAAAGCCACCAAGTTCTCCTCTAATCAACCAGGGAATTGCTACAGCTTTGCAGAGTTCAGTGCTGTACTTACTGCGGAGACATTTTCAAGTCCTTTCACGTCCTCTTTAAATTTCTTTTTGGAACCGCTGTCCTCGAGCGTGTGTGCTCTCTTTGAGCCTCTTTCTCCAACAGGCTCCTTGTCTCTGTTCTTTGCAGCTTGTCTGTCTGGTGCTGGCAGCAAGCTCCCAGGTTTGGTGGGGGCACTTGACTTTGCAGCATCGTTGGGTACTTTCTCGGTGGTGACATCTGTGGAATCTTTTGATGCAGTAGCTTTAGAAGAGGGGGTGGAGCAGACCGTTGGGCTCAGGCCTTGGGGCGGCGTCATGGTTTGGGCTTCGGTGGGCTGCAGGTAAATGGCATAGGATGGGCCCGTAGGGACCTGAGGTAGGATCACAGGCACAGCTGAAGACAGTGGGCTGGGGATCAGGGGGACCACCCCCAGGGGCTGGATGAGAGATGGTGCTGTCAGCTCCAGCTCTGCACTTGCTGGGGTGTCCAGTGGGGCCACTGGTTTGCAGCGCCCTGATCTCGCCAGCTGCACTTTCTCTTTCTTTCTGGGTTCACTGAAAGACAAGATTTTTAAAAATGACTCAATGGAAACACATTTTCCCTGAAGTGGTCTACCACTTTAAGCCTCAGATTAAAGCCATGCTTTTATGAAATTAGCAGATAGTTTCTGTAATGACTGAGTATGAGTTACAGAAAAGATTACTTTGCCAGTTTCTAAGGCTAGTGTCTATTCTTACATAAAATAAGTAATCCTAATAATGCAACGTACAAGTAACTCATCCTGTTACTAAAGAGCATTGCCAACCTACCTTGATTGCTCTTCTAACTGCATTTTGCAAATTGCTGCCAGCTGAGCCATTTTACTTGGGAAAGGTGCTGAATTCTGAGAACCCTCTGCTGGTAAAATAGAAGGGAGGGTGGGGGAGAATAAAGCTAATGATGAAAACGTTTACACAGATGAAAGCTCAGTGAAGTCAAAGGAACAGAGAACATCCACCTCCCACCAAAACTGCACAGCAATTAAATGATATCAGTTGCCAACAAGTCGATTCCAACTCATGGCAACCCTATATGTGTCAGAGTAGAACTGTGCTTCATTGGGTTTTCAGTGGCTGATGTTTTGGAAATAGATTGCCAGGCCTTTCTTCCAAGGCATCTCTGGGTGAACTTGAACCTCCAACCTTTTGGTTAGCAGCTAAGTGTGTTAACCATTTGCATATCCAGGGACTCCAGTAAAATGATAAACCCTACAAACTGCTTTTTTATCCTTTAATTCATATACACGTTAGGCTTCGAGAGTGTTTGGGAATATGGATACTGAAACAATTCTCCAAAAAGTACTGCAAGGATCAAGCAAGATAAAAAATCAGATCAAAAGGGATTCTTCCCAGCCAAGTGCTAACATTACTGAAAACATACCTTTATTGGTCTTAATGGGGCTACTGGGGGCAGAATTTATCTTTCTCCGGTCACTTTCTATACTCTTTACTAGCTTGATAAGTGATGGGTGTCGAGTAAAATTTGGTTTCCCACGTGTAGAGAAGAGGTTTTTGGCACAGTTTTCTTTGGAAGACCGCTTCACCTCCAAATCTGAGGAGGCAAAAGGAATGACAGGACTGGGACCTGAAACAGAAAAGGGCAGTGTCGGGTGGTTTGCAGACTTACTGGACGCGTTGGGGCTGGGGGAACCCCCAGAACTATTCCCCTGAGATGATCGTTAAGCCTAGAACTGAAACCATCCCATGAAGTCATCTTTAAACGAAACAACAGTTTAGCTCAACTAGAATGCTTGCCTCGAGCAGTGCGTGTTTTTCTTTTTTAATATTGTGGTTTAGGTGAAAAGTTTACATAGAAAATTAGCTTCCCATTCAACAAATTGTACACAAAGTATTCCATGACATTGGTTGCAATCCGCACCCTGAGTCAACACTCTCCCCATTTCCACCCTGCATTCCTCATTTGCTTTCGTCCGGTTTTCCTAAACTTCCTGCCTTCTCATCTATGTTTTGGGTAAATGTTGCCCTTTCGGTCTCCTATAATTGTTTGTTCTATAGAGCACGTTCTTTTCAGGTGTTACTGTTTATTTTGTAGGCCTGTCTATTTGGCTGGAAGGTGGCTTCCAGGAATGGCCGTATTTCCAAGTCAGAGAGGTGTTATAGGGCCATGGTCTCAGGGGTTCCTCCAGTCTCTATCAGGCCAGTAAGTCTGGTCTTTTTTAATGAATTTGATTTTTTGTTCTACGTTTTTCTCCGGCTCTGTCTGGCACCCTCTATTGCGCAGTGTGCTCTTTTAAAGAATTATCTATATGAGAGCAAATCTACAACAGTAACTCAAAAACACAGAGGAGAAGTTTAGGGGACAGAGAGTCTAAGTTAATGTTGGTGAGTCAGCATGGGTAGAGACAGCAAGAATGGTAACACAATGAGAAGAATGTAACCAACATCATTGAACTGTACTTGTGGGAAATGCTGAATGGGTGTGTTTTGTTACGTATATTTTCACCAAAAAAAACAAACAAACAAAAAAAAACCACAGGTGGTTTGGCTTCTTTTTGGGATATAAAATCAAAGTATAGTTCTAAGGATGATTTTAGAAAAAAATGCAAGTTTTGAGACACCGACTATGTGCTTTACACACATCACTACCTCATTTATATTAAATGAATTCTGAGATATGAAGTCTCACTTTAACATCCCTTGAAACCCCGCTGTAGCTTATAATCAGTGGGGTGCTATAGTGTAATTGTTAAGAGAGTTTTCTTTCTTAGTGATACATAAAAAATTGTGTATCTTATAATCAGTGGTCTTAGATCTGATGAAATATCATCCTCATGACAATTCCAGGAGGTAGGTACTTCTCATGAAATGCATTCCTGTTTCAGAGACAAGGGAACTGATCTCAGAAACATTAACCAGCTGACTCAGTGTCTCTCCGTGAGTAGAAGGTGCAGCTGGGATGTGAAACTGGTCACTCAGGCCCCAGAGCCTACGCTCCAAAACCCTACATCCAATTACCTCTCTCTGAGATTATATCCAAAATCACAGTAATCCCACAAAGCAGTCATCATTCTTCCCATTTTACAGGCGAGAAACCAAGTTTTGGAGAAGTTAAGTAACTTGCCCAAGGACACACAGCTAGTAAGTGGCGGAGCTGGGACTAGAACCCAAGCCTGCCTCTGCCTTCATGGCCCATGTTCTTGACACTGTCCATTGTTTCTGAGTGGGGATCTCTGGGAGAATATAAAATGTCATAACTGAGATGGGGACTAACCAGTTGCCATTGAGTCAATTCTGACTCAGGGTGACTCCATGTGTTTCAAAGTAGAACTGTACTCCATATGGTTTTCAATGGCTGTGATCTTTCAGAAGTAGATCACTAGGCCTTTCTTCTGAGGTGCTTCCAGGTGGATTCGAACAGCCAACCTTTCGGTTAGTAGCCTAGTGCTTAACCGTTGGTGCCACCTAGAGACTTAAGATGGGGACTACCTACCTGGGTACTAGAGTGAACTCATTTCATAAATACGAACTCATTTGATATTCTCCATGTGCACAGGCAGCGTGTGGTCACTGAGCGGCACAAACAACAACAGCAACAGTATCTTATGTTTTGTGGTGCTTTCAACTTTTTCAAATCCTTTCACATACAGATTTTACTTCCTGGGCACAGGATGGGTGGTGGTGTGGATCTTGGGTTGCTGATAGAGCCAGTAGCCAAACTTTGTATAAGTGGCACTCATCTTTGCCTTTTTCACTATTTATGCAGTTCTTTCCATGTGAGGGTGTGAGTCGGAAGGGGAAGGGAGAATATCTCTAAATGCATATTATTTCAAAATTAGGAAAGATTGAAAGAAAAAAATACGTACCACTGGGATTTGGACTGATTTCTGGGCCTGTCCATTTAAAAGCTGGCTTTCGGCCTCTCTCCTCTGTTACATGTACTTTCTTGATAAGATCCAGGCTACTCAGAACATTCGCTATGTCATACAACCTCCTAATTTTTGCTTGAAAAGGAAAGCATATATACCACTTAATGAAATAATGAAAGATTGAAAGACTTTGCTTCAGAAATACTTCATGGATAGTACAAGAGCTATCCTAACCATCAGTGTCAGACAGAGAAAAATGTGACTTCTTTTTAAGTTATTCTAGTGATACTGTTTTAATTAAAACAAAAATATTGTTTTAAATATTGAAAAGACTCCATTACTGCTGGTACTGAATTTTGAAATGGTGTGTGGAAAACACATGTGGAAAGATGAAAAATGACTTAATGAGATCACCTTATCGGAAACTGCTACATATTTTTTATAAAAAGCCATCATTCCTGAGTATCTTCTAATGGATTCAGAAGAATTTTATGAGCAAATAGAAATAAAGCACCGATGATAAATGTACTTTCCTGTTTGTGATGGTTTATAACAATAAGATTTATTTAATACCATAAGCACAGAAACTCTGCACTATGTCAAAATTTGTAAATTTTATACTGTCCTTATTATGTAGCTATGAGTCGGAATCGACTCGACGGCAATGGGTTTTGTTCCTTATGTAATATGTAAAGCGTAGATTTGTTAATTCTAGGTATCTTGCATATCTTGGAAAGTTTCATTATAAAAAAGTCTGCCTTTACTTCCATCTTGATAGTACAAGATTACAAATTGAACTCCTTCTTGATGGCCATGCCAGAAGGTTCTGAATTCCCTTCAGTAAATTGCCTGCCATTCCTGGAATCAGTTCCCAAGGCTGTGAGTAATCAGTGAAATGGAGAGTTGACACTGTCTGGTGAACTCAGAAAAAGCAGGCAGCCCATCCGTCAGTAGCATCAGGACATGTTTTCTGAAATCACAGATCTACCAAGCCAATTGCCAACATTATTGCCTTTATTCTCTACTTAATTTTGTCTTCATAGCTACACTATAAACCTGCGGATTTCAGAAGATACTTTCAGACTAGTACCGCTTCATATGGATGGGGAGCAGCCTGTGTGTGACAGCTACCAGGCATGTCCCAAGCCTCTGAGGTTGCTTGGGGCAGCTTTCCCTAACCATATAGCTGTGTCCCACCAGTGCTTCCTGAAGCTTCAAGTGGCCTGTGGCCAACCTGGCACTTCTTTGAGGTTTGCTTATACCCCTTGCAGAGATGGGCATGTCATTGGCAGCAGGCTACTCCCCATCTGCTGAGTACCTCTTTCCATGCCCTATTTCCAGCCCTTCTCCTCCTGGAAGTTCCTGCAAAATCTGGGAGTGGGTGAGGGCACAGCTCTGCCTTTAGAACCCAGTCCAACTTCCAGGCAGATATTCTGGCTAAAACCATTCTTTCAAAATGGTAAACCAACTATGCTTCAGGTCATTTGAGGGGACAGTTTTAGAAAGGTTATTTATACTTTGGTATATGAGAGTCAGTGGAAAGAGTGAAGACCTGGGTTCTGGTTCCACTTTACAACTTACTGGCCATTTCAACCTCAGACACTACAGATTCTATACCTGTAATATGGGGACAATGTTACAGTAGCAAGTGAGGTAACTTTTAAGGAACTGTTTATAATCGAATGTGTCAGACAGATAAGAGTAATTATATGTATCTTTGAATCCTACAAGTTAGCTAAAACAGTATTATCAGAGCTTTTGGGGAAAAGTGAAGATATAAAAGCATAATTAGAGATGACCTGTTTATGTAACAAATGTATTTGGAAATCAGTTTATAACTGAGAATCAACTGTTCAAAAATAGGTCCAAAATGTAACAGTTCACGGCAGTCCATGGCACTTACTTTTAAATTTGCTTTTATCCAAGTCTTCCACATGGTCTTCCCCAATTAAAATCTTGGCAGCAATTTCTAGGCTTACTATCTGAGGCGTTGACACCAAAAACAGCATCACAAATTTCTGGCTCATCACTCTTAAAGACTTGTCTTTGCGGCTGTTTACAGAAGCTTTGGAGAAGGATGAGGATTAGAGAATTAAAATTCATGAAGGGACAAGTGACTTCTAAAGTAACAAGGCTAAAAATACCACAACCTGCTCATACAGTTAACAACTGCAGCATCTTAACATTAAAGGCAGCAATAGCTTTAGAGCAGGATTCTCTACCAAACCGTTTCTTTAGACCTACAAGAAGTCCACACACCCTGGGCTTCTCAATACTGCCTCTCACCTGCCCGAAATTCCACTCCGGGGAGTTCGACAAAACACATGTCTGCGTGTCCATTTTGGCCAGTGTTTGATTTGATGATATGATCCTCTATACTGTAACTTTTAATAAAATCAAACTCTTGTTCATATTCTTTCTTTTTGATCATCATGATTTGCTCGGCGTATTTGTTCTCCTCCCCGACACTCTTCAAAGTCCCAAGCGTTTTGTTGAGATTATGTCGCCCGTGCCAGGTGTATCTGTTTTTGGCGAGGCGGCTCACCATGTGCAAACTCTCCAGGACATTCACAATATCGTAAATGCGTCGACGCTCAACATCTGCAAAGAACACACAATTGTATGTTACAAGGATCAGATTTTTTAATGTGTTTACAATTGAGACTTTTTCTTCCATGCTATATTGGTCAGTAGGTTCCAGATAATATACCTTTATTAACTATAAACAAGTATCTTGATCCAACAAACCATGTCAAGCTGACAAAGACATGTCCCTGCTCTCAAAGGATACAGATAACAATAAGAAATTGGAGGGTCATGTTTATTGAGGGCCTAACATGTGCCCTTCAGCTTTTGTGAATTTTTATCCATAATTTGTGAGATAGATAGTATCATCTACACTTTAATGATGAGGAAATAGAGGCTCCGACTGGCTACATAACTCACCCCAGGGCACAGGGCTAGCAAGTGGCAAAAACCAAAAAACAGTTACCGTTGAGCCGATCCCAACTCTTAGCTGTCCCATGTGTGCCAGAGTAGAATGTGCTCCACAGGGTTTCCAACGGCGGATTTTTTGGAAGTATATTGCCAGGCCTTTTTTCCTCTGGGTGGACTTGAATCTCCAACCTTTTGTTTGGAGCCCTGGTGGCAAAGTGCTTAAAAGCTCAGGCTGCTAACCAAAAGGCTGGCAGTTTGAATCCACCAGCCGCTCCCTGGAAACCCCACGGGGCAGTTCTACTCTGTCCTATAGGGTCGCTGTGAGTCGGAATTGACTTGACGGCATACAACAACAACTTACTGCCAGGTCTTTTTTCCTCTGGGTGGACTCAAACCTCCGACCTTCTGTTTAACAGTCAAGTGTGTTAGCTGTTTGCACCACCTAGGGACTCCTAGTAAGTGACAAAACCAGGATTTCAATACTCTAAATCCCATGTTTTCCAACCTGTTTCTTGTTACTCCCCTACTCCCACTAAGCTGCCTGTAATAGTCATGACAGGTACAAAGTGCTATGAGACTTCAGAAGAGGTAAAACCATGACATAGTTTTTAAAAACCCACATAGAAAATAAAATATATATCTTCCTTTGGGTTTCACTGTGCTTGTTGGTAGCTACCATTAACAATGTGATACTAGTGATTAATTCTGTGACCTCCATCAGTCCGTTTAGACAGAGCTTTCAATATTCTTCAGCGTTAGCATTCTCTGTGTTCAGTATCTTAAACTCACTCTCAATGTTGATTTAAATGCAAATACTTGGTTAAATGCAGCCTTTCTGGAAAAGGGTTTAATAAAACACTATTCAGGAAGGGTGCATCCTACTGGCTTCTTGCTGTTCTGGAACATGCCAGATATGTTCCTGCCTGAAGGCCTTTGCACTGGCTGTTCCCTCTGCCTGGAACCCCTTCCCCTAGATGTCCTCATAGCTCCCTTCCTTGCTTCTTCAGGTTCTTGTTCTCATATCACCTTCTCAAGGAAGCAAGCCCTGACCACTGAATTTTCATTGCAAAGCACCTCTATCCTCAGCACTTCTGATCTCACTTTTTCTGTTCTACATTTTCTTTTTTCCATAGCACATCTTACTTTCTAACATACATTATAATGACTTAGCACTTGACTACTAGCCAAAGGGTTGGCAGTTTGAACCCACCCAGAGGCACCTTGGAAGACAGGCCTGGCAATCTGCTTCAGAAAGGTCACAGCCTGGAAAATCCTATGGAGTGCAGTTCTACTCTGCACACACAGGGTTGCTATGAATTGGAATTGACTCAATGACAACTAACAGCAACAAATTATGTTCTTTGCTTCTTACCTACTGCTCCCACTGGAATGTAAGTTCCACGAGATAAGAGATTTTGTTCTTTTTGTTCACTGATGCATCCTAAGCTTCTACAACATTGACTGGCACATAGTAGGTGATCAAGATACTTGTTGAATTAAAGAGTACCTCCTACAATTAGGTGTATATGAAGAATAGATGAATCTAAACACTGCATATTCTTAAAAAGTGAAATAAAATTAATATTCATACACATGTATTAGAAAGCCAAGAGTCCCTAGAGAGTGCAAACAGTTAAAGCAGCTGGCTGCTAACTGAAAGACTAGAGATTTGAGTCCACCCAGAGGAAGGAAGTCCTGGCAATATACTTCTGAAAAATCAGCGCTTGAAAACCCTATGGAGGACAGTTCTACTCTAACACACATAGGGTTGCTGTGAGTCGGAGCTGACTCGATGGCAACTGGCTTATTAAAAGGGCAAAACCTTTCTTCATGGAGTGATGAGGGCTACGTATTAAAATACAGTACTCTGCACATCTCTTCAGTTTTATACCAAGATGTTTTCATTATTCCAAGGTAACCCAAATTTGCCACAGACCCCTTCTTAGCTCTTAACTAGATTTAGGTCTAAAATTTTATAAGTGAATAAAATTAAATTGTGTAAGAGAATAAATATGTCAGGGATGAAGGGAGGAATAAAAGAGGGGGAAACACAGTAACTTTTGCAAAACACAAAGCTCAGAGCAAACCCATGAGTCTTCAGAAAACTACTGAATGGCCAAAAAAAAAAACAAAAAACAAAAAAAAGCACCAATTTGTTGCTGTTCAGTCAATTCCAACTCGAGGCGACCCCACGTGTTACTGAGTAGAACCGATAACATGGGGTTTTCTTGGCTGTAATCTTTACAAAAGCAGATTGCCAGGCCTTTCTTACACGGTGCCACTAGGTGGGTTTGAACCACCAAGCTTCCAGTTAGCAGTCAAGCACAAACCGTTTACACAACCCAGGGATCTTTATTGAGTGGCAGAGAGCACTAAAGCCCTACTTCCACTCACAGAAACTGGTTCTCCATGTAAACTGCCATCTATGAAGACACCGTTCACCAGCATGGCTCTTCAGGAGAGGGACATAACAAGACTTCAGAGTTGTAGCTGTTTGTGATTCGAGTCATAAAACAATGTTGCCTTAAAAGCTTCAGAGCTTTTGAAATGCAGTCAGAAGCAATCTCTGCTGTGATATTCTGCCTGTTTTAAGCTTCTCTGACGCTAGAAACTATATGCTTTATATTCTTAAGTTAATAGGGTTTTAGGGGTTTACAAATATTTCCGTGTGGCCATATTTGTGCCATTTACAAACACTGGCCAGATGAGCATGGCTTACTCTAGAGGAGTAAGTTCATAAAGTCGTTTTAATCATTAACCGTTTCAGTGAGTTCTTTGTGTACTTACTAAGTTCTTCTGCTACTTCGTCCAGACAGATGTCATTATTCACGGCAGGGTTGGGATAGTTAGGGTATCGAGCTAAGAACTTATGACACAACAATCCTAAGCTTTTCTCTTTCCGACTAGGTTGAGATTTCTCATATTCATCTCCAGATAAGTGTTCCTATAAAGAAAAAGGCAAATAATGTTTTATTCTGAAATAAAGTTTGACAGATTCATTAGGGGCATTTGTACTCAGTGACTAACAACTCTACACGTGCTTGGCTTCAACTGTTGCAAAGTTTGGGAGAAAAAAACTGGGGGAAGCTAGTACTCAGTGCTTGGCAGATCCGAAAGCGAAGCTTGAACTAAAAATAATGCAAAGGTTCAAAATTCTGAGTGCTATATTTTGATGGGGTCCAATCCCTTCCACTGCACTGAAGGAGGCTAATAGCTGCCTGGCAGGTGGCAATGCTTTATATCAATGGCATTTCTATACCAGCAATAGCCCGCCCGCACCCCTCGCCCCCAGCCTTTTGAAAACCTACGTGTAAACAGTCTTTGGCCTCAGGCAGTCCACTTCTGTTATCAAACAGCCCCCTTTTCTGATCTCTACTGCGGATCTCGGGGCTCACAGCACTGATGAGCATTTTCAGGTTGGCTGTTGGTGTCCACGGTTCCCCTGGAGAGATTTCCTTGGGCTTGGTGGGCGTTGTTAAAGGGCCAAAGTCGGGCTGGATCTCGGCCAACACTATATTTGGGGTTGTGGACTCTTTCAGAGGTGTTTTCATTAGTACCTTTTTATGTGGCTCAAAAAAGAGGTTTTCCTGGTTCAAAAAAAAAAAAGTAAAGCCATTGTAAAACAGGATTTATAAGAGGGTTTTTGATTCTAGAGATTGTATAATAAGTAAAATGTTGGTCAGGAAAAAATGCCTAATGAGGCTGTATTGTTGATTAAATTAACAACTATATTTCAATGATTACTTGAGAACATATTATTCATTCTAATAGCTAAATTTCCCATTTTTAATTTTGCAACAAAGCACAGACCTGAAGTCTTTCATCTCTTGTTTCAAGAATTAAAGAAAAAAAGAACACTATTAGGACTTGTAACTTTTTAAAATTTTTATTTGAAAATAATTTTAGATATAGAGAAGGGTTGCAAATATACTAAAGAGAGTTCCCATATACCTTCCACTAAGCTTTGCCTAATTGGACTTAAAATCTTAAGGGATCCAAAACTCCTGTTGTTGTTGTTAGGTGCTGTCGAGTCAGTTCCGACTCATAGCAACCCTGTGTACAACAGAATGAAACACTGCCCGGGCCCTGCGCCATCTTCACAATCGTTGCTATGTTTGAGCCCATGTTGCAGCCACCGTGTCAGTCCATCTCATTGAGGGTCTTCCTCTTTTTCGCTGACCGTCTGCTTTACTAAGCATGAGTCCTTCTCCAGGGACTGGTCCCTCCTGATAACATGTCCAAACTATGTGAGACAAAGTCTCAGCATCTTCGCTTCTAAGGAGCATTCAGGCTGTACTTCTTCCATGATAGATTTGTTCATTCTTCTGGCAGTCCATGGTGTATTCAATATTCTTTGCTAAACCATAATTCAAAGGCATCAATTCTTCGATCTTCCTTATTCATTGTTCAGTTTTCACATGCATATGAGGCAATTGAAAATACCATGACTTGGGTCAGGTGCACCTTAGTCTTCAAGGTGATATCTTTCTTTTTAACACTTTAAAGAGGTTTCTTACAGCAGAATTGCCCAATGCAATACATTGTTTGATTTCTTGACTGCTGCTTCCATGGGCTCTGATTGTAGATCCAAGTACAACGAATTCTTGACAACTTCAATATTGTCTCTGTTTATCATGATGTTGCTTATTGGTCAAGTTGTGAGGATTTTTGTTTTATGTTGAGGTGTAATCCATCCAAAACTCCTACGAGCAACTTTTACTCATGACACTGTAAAGTATGGGCCTCCAGGGCAGAAACTATGTCCGAGCAATATGTGTATCTGCCTGGTACAATGACTGCATGCAGTAGGTGCTCAATAAACCACCACTGACATGGAAGAGTCAGAGAGCCAAGGAGACAAGAGTGAGGGTTAGCATATGGTTAGACTTGTCAGAAAAATCCAGTAGGGAGCAGCAGAGTGCCGGACAGCAGGACTTCTGACCAGAAAAGTCGGTTCTTGGAATATCCAGCCCTCTCATTGTACAGAGGGAGAAAATCGGGCACAGAGAAGTAAAATTAGTTACCCAAGGTCACAAGGCTGGTTCCCTGGCAAAGATGGGACTGCTACTTTGAACAAAAACAAGTAAATTAACAGCAGTTCATAAATAGGATTAATAGGGATTATGTTTCTTCTACTTTTGGACACCAGGGGCTTCATACATTCTTCCTGTCTGTATCTATTTTAAAGAAAATGCCTGGGACAGCAGTAAGTGAAAGAATTGAGAGACCTACTAATTTCTCAGTAACATTAGGAACATGGATTAATGGGACTAGATTACATGAGTGTGACACTTTAGGATTGATCAGGTGCTTTTCCATTTGTAATTTCACCAAATCCTGTATTCCCATTTTGCAGAAGAAGAAACCAAGGCTGAGAGAGGACACACAGGTCTTGAAATCAGATCTTCTCATTCCAAGTACGGTGCTCTGACCTGAAAGTCAGTATGATGAATTCAATGGGAGATACTTGAAAGCGTGTGCTGACCCAAGAATGGGATTTTTCTTAGGCTCCTTTCCTTTCCCTGAAACTATTAGGAGCACTATTAAAATTGTTTTATTTGACTAATACCTAAAACTTTCAGGAAATCTGCACATAAGTTGATTTTTTTTTAAATCTTTCAGTATTTGGACACCAATCAAGACACCTCCATTGACAATTTTTTTGTAAATTTACAAAATATTTATCTCATAATGTGTTTTCCATCTCTCCATAGTTAAGGAAGCTAATGATTTGGCAAAAAATTATCTTAAAAAGAAATTCAATCTCATATGGTGTCAAATGTCCTTTCTGAATTCCGATTGTTCAAGAATCCTCAGAAATATCATAATGTGACTAACAAATTTTACTTTCTTAAAAATACCTACTTGATTCATTTGCAGATTGTAATATCCCAATGCCTTTCCTCTCTGCTTATGTCTTTGAGACTTCCCCCAAACCATTAAAAACTAGAAGGATGACTTTAACTCTGGACAAACCTCCCCTTCTTCAAAAATTAAATTTCCTTTCCTTCCAGATTTTTACAAAGGTTAACTAAAAAAGGACGTGGCATTAGTAAGATATTCGGTATTGAAAAATTACAGAGTTAAGATGATATTGCATTTAAAATTGCAAGGGTGAATAGTGAAATTAAAGAGTACCTTTTCATTTTCCATTCTGTAAATTTCTCACACATTTAGAGTTTCTTTAAAAATGAAATATCTGGAGTTCCTTTCAGTATGCCGCTGGTTCAAGTACTCCAATCAATTCTACTAAAAAAATTTAATATCCTTAAAGAAAAAAGGAATAGAAAAAGTTTGGGAAAAATAAGAACCAAGAGATCATCTACTGAAAATTCATTCACGGGCACTGCTGGTCACAGAAACAAAGACTAAGGAAAATTGACAGACTAGATTTACATTTTATTCCCGACCAGAGATAGAGCCCCACTGGGCAGAGAACTCCAAAAAGGGCCAGGAAAACCCTTCAGCAAACCGATCTCATTTTGCAGAACCGATCCGCTGCCATGAGACTTCAAATAACCCACGGAATTTCCAGGGACGGCCCTCTCCCAGCTTTAGAGAAGGCAGGCCGTATTCCGGACCCACCATCCTCGAACAGACCGCAGCTAGCACCCACCTGTTCACAGATCAGGGCTCCGGACTGAGCGCCCTGAGTTCAGGTTCAGGCTGAGCAGACACGGCCTGGAATATCTGGATGTAAGTCTGCATCCAGATGCCTGAATTTCCCCCCTTACACACACGTGCACAGGCTCAGCAGTAAAGTCTTGGGAAACTGATATGAAACTTCCAAATTCACTCCCTAAGCGCCAAACATACTTCTGGTCATTTAAAGAGAGCCTTATGATTTAGACTTTTGTTTAATAAAAAAATTTCCTTAGAGATGAAAAGTCCTATGCCCTTGTTATTCGGGTGGCTGGTTCACGCCAAAATGTTGAACTCCACCACGGAAGGCTGCATTTGCTCAGGAAAGCAACCAGGTACAGTTCCCTTGCCGCCACCGGCTCAGGTCCCGCGCACTTCCCCCTCCGCGCGGCCAGCTGCCCCTCCCCCCCGGGCTCAGTCCGCCCGCCGCCGGCCCGACAGTTCCTGGACAGCATCTTCGCGGTTTCCAGGGCAACGACTCCCGGCCAATCAGAGAGCCGGCCGCGGGCCAGCGATTGGTTGGCGGCGTCAGGGGCGGGCCCGGACCTTCCGCCTTCGATTTAAAAATTTGGCGCGGAAAGCCGGACCGTGGCCGGCGCCGCCCCTTCTCTGCGCGGGGCTTGAGCGCGGGCAAACCCGTGCCCGGAACCACGGCATCCCCGCCCCTCCCCCTCGCTTGTCCCCGCCCCTCTGCGCGGGAGCTCAGCTCCTCCCTCCAGGGCCCCCGGCGGAGCGGGAGGCGGGAAACGGCTGCCGAGGTCTCCCGCCCTAGCCTATCCCCGGTGCCTAGCAGCTTGGGCGCCGTGTCCCTCTGCGTCCCACTGACCTGTCAATTCACTTCACGGTTGGAGCCGGCGGGGGCTGAGCTGCGACTCCTCGCCACCCGTTCCCCGCTCAGGCCCGGGAGCCCGCGTGTCGGGCCGTCAGTCCGTCCTTCCGCGGCGCCGAGGTGGGTGCCGGAGGGAAACAGCAGGACCCGGACTGGCGGTCCAGCGGGCTGGCACAGGGAACGTGACCGTCCCGGATCAGTCAAGTCCGCGATTTGAAATTAACCCGCTCCCGGCGCGAGCGGATCCCGCGGGCGGGGAGGGCCGCTCCCCTCCCCTCCCCCACACCCGCTTGTCCCGGACCCCGCGCGCCAATCCGAGCCTCCCGCCACGAGCTGCCAGCGAATAGGGTGCAGGCGCCGCCCCCCATTTCCGCCCCCAAGGAAGAGTTGGGGGGGGGGAGTTCAACAACTTTTTTTTTTTTTTGCAAATACCCCCTCCCCTTACTCAAAGTTGGGGAAAGAAGTTTGGCCTGCCGGGGCTCGCGCGCTTGGACTCGGGCGCGCTTGCGATCCTCAGCCGTCCCACCCTTGGCCAGCCTGAGATCCGCTCACCTGCCCAGCGAACTCCAGCCGGGACGGTCGGGTCTTCCCACCCTGGCATACATGATTGCACTGCCCACCATCTCCCCCATGGCTTCCAGAAATTAGTGGAGGGAGAAGCTTGGCCGACTAGTGCCAAGCGATGTGCGCCGGGCTTTGGCCGAGCCGTGAGAACTCAGGTGTGGGAGGAGGAGGAGTAAAGTTGAAAATCCGCCAAGCCTATTCCCCGCCGGCGTCCTCCGTCTCCCCTCTCCGAGTCTCCCACCCGCTCCTTCCTTTCACCTCCCTGTTGTTTTCCCTCGCTTTTCCCTCTTTTTCCAGCGTCCCTGTCTTTGGCAGCTTAAGCAGGATATATTGTGTTCTAGAATAATAGCATGATTGGGAGACTCTCTAGTCTTACGGCCTCATTTTTGCAGACAGGGAAATCGAGGCCCTTGCCTGGGTGGTTTTGCTTGCTACGCTATTCTCCGCCTTTCAGTGTTTCCCTTTTCTGGGGACCGGTGCTGGGGTTGCGGGGCCGCATGTGTTGCCCAACTGCGCCTAGGTCAGGGCGTCTATCTATTAACTGTTTGGCATGGGCTCTTCCTTCTCTAATCTCGCGTCCCTAAACTCCAACAAGGTCCGAGGCCGCGCTCCCCCAGCCCCACTGCTTACTTATGTGTCAATGAATCAGCATTGCTGACTGGAAGTTCTTATATTTTCCCGGTCACGATAAGGGTGGCGATGCGGTGATACTGAGGCCGGAGTCGCCACGCTGCAGAGACCGGCTGCAGAGCCGGGCATCTTGGCAGCGAGTGGTAGCTCATCCCTGCGCGGAACGCGACCGCTGGGCTCGCAGGACAGCCTTCCTAAAGGGTTAGCGCCGTCTTGTCCCTGTCCTTTCCAAGGCTCCAGCCGGTGGGGGGAAACCGACCCAGCTTCAGGCAAGTGTTACTCAGAGCTCGCTTTGACTTGAAAGCGGGCCTTTGGCGTGGTGGTGTGCGCAGGGGAGCCGCCGCCTGTAGCTCTCAAAATTAAAATAAAGCCTGAGCCGCTAGGCAGGGCGGCACCGCCAAGAGTACTGAGCAGTCGGTTCTTACTGAGCCCCCGTACAGCTTTTGTGGAGCAAAGTGAGGTTATAAACACATCGACAAAAGGTGGGCACTGTTTTCTGCGTTAACCACCGTCTTCCAGATTGACCCTCTTCCCCTTTCCGTCAGCGATTACGGGTGTCCGCGGGTTCAGCTCTGCCCAAACCACCCAAAGTTTTTACAGCCTGGAGTCTAGCGGGCATAAGTCCTCTTTACAGGGACTCTTTTCAGAAGCAGCCCAAGATGCCCATGTGTTCAGAGGCGGCGACTAATGCTTTCACACGTGTGAATCCATCGGGCCATTCATGCCGCAGGTGTGAGTGGCAAGTACCTGTGCTGCGAGTAATACAGGGAGCTGCCACCTCTGGTGACATTTCACAAATGGCACGTCATTTAATACTCAGCACAGATGTTGACTACGGTTTGTGGCTCAGGAAAGTGAGGCACAGTGAGTGACAGAGCTGGGATTTGAAACCAAGTCTGACTCCTAAGGGCTTCCCACTGAAAGCCATGTCCTCCACTGTGCTGGGGGCCGTCCTTACTCGCTTCATAGGATCGTTGCCCCCTTTTTATTTTATAGACAAGAAAACTGAGGAACACAAAGTTTTAAGTGATGATCAATTAATTCTAGCTGTAAAATGAGGTCTACCTGCTCCCTGCTCAAATGTTGCAGCCCACTGCCTGTGAAAGTTCCTGTGACGACAATGTTAGTGATGTCTTAGGCCCTTAACCGTTTAGTCCCCCCTCAACCTAACAAACACAAAAAACCAGGAAAGGTGGGATATGTAATTCTTCTGTTAATGACATTGTTATATCTTACCGAAGCATGTGAAATTATACTTCACCTCCCTGAATATGTTGAAAATTGGTCCCATTAAGAGTGAGATTATATACATAGTTGAATCTTAAATCTTAATGACCCTTTCATGGAAAGGTAATGAAAAAGAAAGCAAGCTGAAACAATTCTGCTCCATACTCTATAATGTGTCGATCTGAAGTTCAGCATGAGTGTAAAGCAAAGACACAGGACTATTGAAATTTTTTATGTTTACTGCACTACCAAGAAGGAAGGATCAGGGGACAAGTTGAAATCCCCCCCCCCATTAAATATGTTCTCCGGTTATTAATTACATAATCCAAGGGAATACTCATGCATTTATGGCTTTTTTGGTTCACCATGTTGTGTAATCTGTGTCTCCCTGAAGTTAGACCCGTTTTTCAACTCTATGCTGTCACTCAAATGGGTTGCATAACTCAGAAGGCTAAGACATTATGTAACACGTTCAGTACCAAATAAAGTGTTACAAAAAAAAAAAAGATATCAAAAGTAAGGGGAAAGATGGGCACCATCTGAGATGCTTAGATTCAAAGATAACCTTCAGGAGCTTTCTGAATCATGTCCCTTTTCATCATCACCAAACGGTCTCATACACTTGTTGTGAAAAGAGCAGATCCTTCCCCCAATGACCTGGGTAGGATGAGGGGTAAGGAAGGAGTTGCTCTAGTTAGCGTGTCCCTAGACCTTTTCATCTTGCCTCTCCTAACCCCCACCCCCGCCCCCAGCCCCTACCCCGCCAGATGCTTCTGTCACCAGCTCTACTTCCTGATCAGTCCAGCATTGTGGGTTTGTACTTTTTCGGCAGCACATGCTGGCAGAACCACCACAAAACTGCTGTGTAGAACTTTAAAGTGCACAAATCCCCATGGGCTGGGTTGGTTGCAGCTGCTCGCAACCAAATCTCAGCCTTCCCTGGTCCCTTTGACTAGATGATTACTCTGTCAGCAGATGAATCCCAACCCAGCCTGTTGCCGTGGAGCAGATTCCAACATGTAGGGACCCTACAGGACAGAATAGAACTGCCCCATCAGTTTCCAAGGCTGTCCAAGGCAGTAATATTTACAGAAGCACACTGCCACATCTTTCTCCCTCGGAGCGGCTGGGTGTTCCAACCGTCAGCCTTTTGTTTAGCAGCCAAGCTCTTAGCCACGCGCCACCAGGGCTCCAGATGAATCTAAAAAACCAAAAAACCCGTTGCCGTGGAGTCGATTCTTACCCATAGCTACTCTATAGGACAGAGTAGAACTGCCCCATAGGGTTTCCAAGGAGCAGCTGGTGGATTAGAACTGCTGACATTTTGGTTAGCAGCTGTGGCTCTTAACCACCAGATGCATCTAGCTAGGTCCAAATCTGGGGAGGTTTAAAGAGGGTCCTACAAGAAATTCAGGTGGCAGGGGAGCCTGGAGCTGGCTTTTGCTGACGTGGAGCTAGAATTGGTCAGAGCCTGCCCAAGGCAGCACGGCTGTGTTTCAAATCCCCTCAAGCTCTCCTGTGATTTCTTGTGCGACTGTACTCAATGGATGAGCTCTGGGTAGATATTTGCAGCCCTGGATTCAGCTGCAGCATTTATTAAGCGATTGCTGCTTTTAGATTTTTTTAAATACTTCGGGGATAATGGAGTCCCTGGGTGGTGCAAATGGTTAACGCACTCAGCTGCTAACCAAAAGGTTGGAAGTTTGAGTCCACTCAGAAGTACCTCGGAAGAAAGTCCTGGCCATCTACTTCTGAATGATCACAGCCATTGGAAACTCTATGGAGCACAATTCTACTCTGACACGCATGGGATTGCCATGAGTCAGAGTTGACTTGTTGGCAACTGATTTACTGGTTTTGGGAGCCCTGCTGGTACAGCGGTTAAGAGCTTGGCTGCTAACCAAAGGTCAGCAGTTCAAATCCAGCAGCCACTCCTTGGAAACTCTATGGGGCAGTTCTTCTCTGTCCTATAGGGTATCTATGAGTCAGCATCAACTTGACGGCAACAGGTTTCAGAACACAAAATACTGAGGACCCTTTTATAAAACTGGAACCTGATTTCTGTCCTCATTGCATTTCTGCATCATCTTAAAATTGTCCTACATTAAAAAAGTACATATACAGACACATAT